GTGTGTGTGTGTGTGTGTATATATATATTCATCACATTATAGATTGAACATATATAAGTTTATTTGTCAATTATACTTCAATAAAGCTGAAATAAAGGTAAAAATAATATAATACAGTGATCAACGTTCTAGAAATAAATGTAAAATGTCTAGGTAACATGAAAAAAATTCTAGGGAAATAAAACACAGCAAAGTGGCCATATCAAGAAGAAAATCATAAAATCAAAGAAAGAGTAGTTAAATTTCTTCAACCACAAAGATATCACACCTACTAACCTTATTTTTTAAAAGTTCATTTCAACTGCATAAAAACTATTCCAATATATAGAACAGAAACAAGACAATTCTTAATTTTCTGAGTTTAGCAATGACAGTGGGCCCCCAAGTCAGAAAAACACAAGAAAGTAAAAATGTATATTAATCATATTTACAAACACAGAAGCAAAAATTCTAAATAGAGTATCAGCAAATCATAATCATCACTTTATTATAATAATCACATCATGACCACGGGCTTAATCTCAAAATTGCAAGGATAGCACAATTTAAGAAAATGTACCAACAAAGCTAATTCACTAAAACAATATATCTAAATGAAAAAATATATAATCGATTGACTGGATAAATGTCAATATAACACTGGATGATAGCCAGCAATCATTCATGAGAAAAAAAAACTTGGCGAACAACTTTCATAAATATAATACCAGATACCTATAGCAAATACATGTACGGTATAAGATGCAAAGTCTAGAATAATTTATACTAAGTTCAGAAATAAAAAAGTCACCTCTTATCACCACTACTAATCAACATTGTCCTAAAGGTCCTAGCCACTGCAAGCGGACGAGAGAAAAGAAAAAAGTGGAGAATGCATGTAAACGTTGGAAAGTAGAAAATAAAATATGCTTTGCAGAGGACATGAGCATTTACATAACCAATCTAAGATAATCGACCAATGAAAGATTAGAACTAAAAAGAGAATTTAGCAATTCCTAAATACAAGATCAACATGGGGAGGGGGGCGGAGGGGGAGGGTTAATGGCTACCCCGAAGAGCAACGAGATGCTGAAAAGAAAAATAACTAACTCACAATATCAAGACTTATCACTAAGTGCAGGTGCGACTGAAAACTGGACTGTGAATTATGAGTGCGGACATTTTGCACCGATCTGCGCGAAGCTGAGATTACGGACTTTAAAATGGCCGCCACTCGCCGGCCGCAGCCTCCTTCCCGCTGCCTTTCCAGCCGAAGCCCGCCAGCCTTCCGGCCTCGAGGCTTTACGGCGGCGCGGGGCGGGGCTTCCGGTCTTGCGCACTAGGAAGTCTCCATTTTAGCTTCTGTTCGGCGCGCCGAGCGGAGGCTTTTCCCCTGCGGGCTCTTCTCCGAGGCGCCTTCTCTTCTGCTTCTTCCCCACCGAGCAGACGACAGTATCGAGGCTGACACCTGCCTCCGTGCTTTTCCCGGCTCCAGGTTCATGTAAGTGAGACTCCCTGTCCCTGACTGCTGCAGAGGGCCTCTCGCTTCGAGTTTGCCGGCTCCGGCGGAGCGCTCCCTCTCGGGGCCTTGGTTCCACAGAAATGGCGGAGGCTGCCGTACAGAAGGCCGCCGCCCAGAATTTGGTGACTTTCGAGGATGTGTACATTTTCTTTACCCCAGACGAAAGGGACCTACTTAGTGAGGCTCAGAAACAATTGTACTATTCTGTGATGATGGAGAACTTCCTAATGGCGGCCTCAGTAGGACTCGCAATTTGTAGGCATCCTGTAATTGTCCGACCTATGCTAGTGAGACAACTCAATGTTCCTGACAAAACAGGCAAAGCTTCAGCCACGACGATGATACAAGGGAGCTCTGGCCCTGGTTGTGGGAACCAACTGGGAGATAAAAATGGGTCTTCTCTGAGGGGTGTTTCTATTAAAGTGTCACAGGTGAGAACTCTCACGGTGCATCCGTTCATCCCAAAGAGCCACCAATGTGCCATGGGTGACCCAGTCTTAAAAGACATGTTGCATCTGGCTGGGCAGCAGGGAACATCCCCTGGGCAGCAGTCATATAAGTCCTGTGGGAGAGCCTTTAGTGTAAACCATGGCCAAATGCCGAGGCAGCAGAGTGGAGAGACATCCGGTACAATGAAAAAGGGCCAGGACCAGTTTGTTAAGAGTGGCAGGTGCCACGTATCAGAGAATGCCTTCACTTGCAAGAAGGGTGGGAAGGACTTCTCTGCCAGCTCTGGACTTGTCCAACACCAAGCCACTAACAATGGGGAGAAGTCATACTTGAGCACTGAGTATAAGGGGGCCTATCGCACTGAACAAAGAAGTTACAGGTGCAGTGAATGCGGGCAGATTTTTGGCCACAAAGACACATGTGGTCAGAACCAGAATAGTCAGATGAGAAAAGAGTCTTATGAGTGCAACCAGTGTGGCAAATTCTTTAACAACGACTCTGACTTTATGTTACACAAAAAATCTCACAACAAAGCAATATGTTATCAGTGCGTTGATTGTGGGGAATATTTTAAGTATAGCACCAGCCTCGAAGTACACCTAAAAATGCACAAAGAAATGTTAAACTCTTATCAGTGTGCTGAATGTGGGGAAATCTTTCAGGAAAACTCTTACCTTATTCAGCACCAGAAAACTCACACTGATCCAAAACCTTATGAGTGCAGTGAATGTCAGAAAACCTTTGCCCGCAAAAATGGGCTTACTATGCACCAGAAAAGTCACACTGCTGGTGCAAAACTTTTTGAGTGCAGTGAATGTCAGAAAACCTTTTCCCGTAAAAGCTCACTTACTCAGCACCAGAAAATTCACAGTCCAGTAAGGCCTCATTCTTGCGACATATGTGGAAAAGGCTTTCACCGTAAAGGTCGACTTCTTGACCACCAGATGATGCACACTGGAGAAAAGATTTATCAGTGTGATGAATGTGGGAAATTATTTAGGTACAAGTCCTCCCTTGCAGCACATAAGAAAATTCATAATGCAAGCGGGCTTTATATGTGCAGCGAATGTGGGAAAGCCTACGGCACTAGTACCCACCTTAATCAACACAAGAAAGTTCACAACAAAGCAAGTCCTAGTGGTGAAGAGAATGTGGGAAATTCTTTGGTGGCAGCTTCAGCCTCATCCCCCAGAGATAAAACACTGGAGCAAGGCCTTATGTATTCAGCAAATGTGGGAGAGTCTACAGAAGACTCTCCCACCTCTCCTCCGTGAAAGGTTCGCATCAAAGAAAGGCCTCATGAGTGTAACTGTTTTGGTGATCTTTTAGCTCTTTTAAGTTCATTTAGCACCAGAACTTTCACACTCAAGAGAGGCCCTAAGAGAGCTGGGAGTGTGCTTTTTCCTTGCTCAACATAGCATGAGTCTGAACATTAGCCTTTGAGATGAAGTAAACAACCAGAAGTTGAACTTTGTACATACAGGTATCCACACTGGAGATAACAAGTGCCAGGTATGTGGGAAGCTTTCAGGAGCTACTTTATGTTTTCTAACCTTCCCAGGACCTTTCCTTGGCTTGAGTTATGTTATTGCCAGTGTGTGTTGCAGAAACCATCCCACTTCTACCAGCATTCAGGACCCTACACTGTGTCAGTTATTCCAGTGTACTCAAAAGACCTCCACTATCCCTCCTGTTACCTGGAGAGAATCACTAGTGATCTGAACCCACTGGGGTTCCTCATTCCCTCCCCCCTGATGGTTTCAGTATTGACATAACCCAGCTCTTGCCAAAAAGAAGAGCTGGAATCTCCTGCAATTTTTCAGAGGTTTCTGTTTCCCATAGACAGTATTGACTCTACATGAGATAGTCTCCAAATTACCCAACCTCAGAGCTGCTTACCTCACACTGATCTGATTTGTGCAGTGAAAAAGACTTTCTGGTAAAGCTTTTACTCTGTTCTGTTCACTCTGTGTGGTTGATTGAGAAAAGAAATGGGCTTTTAGGAAACAGGTCATCACTCACTGAGCTTATTTCTTCCCTTCACACCTACAAGGGTGTTGATTGCTTTCCACAGTTAGGAAGAAAACTAGGACTGTGGGCTGAGTTAAATATCTAAAAGAACTGTGCTGTCCAATACTGTAGGCACTAACCATATATGAATATTGAGCACTTGAAATGTAGCTAGTCTCAGCTGAGATATGCTATAAGTATAACATGCACACTGTATTCCCAAGACAGTATTTTTAAAAAGGAGAGAGAATGTAAAACATCTCCTTATAACCTTTATATCGAATGTATGTTAAAATGATAACATTTTGGATATATTGGGTTAAATAAAATGTAATTAAAAGTAAAAATAAAATAAATGGGCTTTGCCAGCATATAGTAAGAACCGTTTTGTAGGGGCCCCAAACATGTGCCTCAGAAAAAAATAGCAGGATAACAGCTCTCTAATTTGGCATAATTGGTAATGCTGGCTGAGCATTCTCAGGAAAAACTGTCCAGCTTTGTGGGAGTGATCTTATGACTGATGTCAAGTTCTCCTTTGAGACCTATGCTTACCCTGTTAAAGGGATAATTGGTATGACAACCTCCAGTGCTTCTACGAACAGCATGAGTTAAATCCGTTTTTCTCGGGATGTCTCACATTCCCCAATATTGTTGAAGTATAGCTGTCTCCCAAGACCTACCCAGAAGTCATGACCCCTATAAAGTCTAAATCTGGTAGGTAGATAATGTAAAAATGGGGAATTATAACCCACCCCACCATTCTTTTGACATTGTTTCTGTAAATGCCAACTCTGTGACTAATATGTAGCTTGTAGATAAACAGCATGTTTGTATAAGAATTTTAGAAACTTCAGAAGATGCAGACTCCAACCTTCAGTCATCCCAGTTCCAGGAGATTTGCTGACCTTCAGCCGTAGTACCAGGATGATGAAGACCAGGATGATGCACACCAGACGATCACTTGACAAGTTTCAAGATCTTTATTAGAATGGACTGTGTTGGACTGCACATGGAGAACTTTTCAATCCCCTCCCCTTGGTTTTTTTGTTCTGCTTTCTCCCTCTTTATAAAAACCTCTGCCTGCACTGAGATGGGGAGATGGGTTTTGTGAGTAGAGTCCCCCATCTTCTCAGGTGCCTGGCATTTGAATAAACCTCTTTGTTTACCAGCATCTGTCTCACGAGTTTGTTTTTTGTGGCAGCAGGCAGCCAAATTTGGGTTCCCGTTACAATAAGACCTACAGGGCCTAAGTGGAAAACATAATTGATATTTCTTGGTCTAATGCATAAAATGTTGTCATCTTTCCTGATGTTCATTTATCAAGAGAAATACAAATTCTTTTTCTCTACTTTCTATAAATTTAAGCCTTAACATTTAAGATTAACACTGGTAAATATTGTTTTACTTATAAATCCCAAAATAGTTTTTATTATATTCTATTATATGTTGTTATATCTTGTTTAGAGAAAAAAATCTTTCAAAAATAAAACTAATGAAATACACCTTTCAGATATATGAACACTGTATAGAAACATTAAGAGTAGGGGATAGTGGAGATTGTGCCCAACTAGAGGTCATGTGTGGTGTTCATTTCGGCAGCACATATGCTAAGCTGCCTGGGAGCATTCTAGATTCCAATGNATCTTCTCAGGTTCCCAGCACTTGGAAAAAAACTCTTTCCTTTTTCACCAGCATCTGTCTCACAAGTTTGGTATTTATGGCAGCTGCCAGCTGAACTTGGGTTCCAGTTACAGTTTTGGTGAGCCGGCAAGGAGGTCATGGGAGCCCCCCTTGGTAAATCCCTGGACTTTGGAGGGGGTTCTCCAGGCTGCCTGGGCTGACCAACCCTACGAGAGAACTTGGGGGTCCCTAGCAGCATTCCAGTATTTTACTCGGGCACTGTCCTTTGTTCTCTCTCAGTGCTGGTTGCCTGCTATGCCTGGCTCAGGGAAGGAAACAGGTTGTTGTTGGGCCAACAAGCCCATACTGGGTAAAGTGTTTGGTGTGCATGACCAGGAGTCCCTGCCTGGCCATTTGGGCTTCTTTGAAGCATTTGGAATTCCATAGGAATCAATAGGCACCACATGGCAGTAGGCACGGTTCAGTGACTAAAAAATAAATCCCAGTTCCCTGGTGTGGGATTTGCTTGGAGCACTCTTTTGGTTTTGGTATTTGTATTTTGTGATACTGTTTACTTTTCTTGTTGCCTACATCTTGTGGGGTGTCTTAATAGTTGTGTTTTTATTGCTAGAATTTAACTTGAGAGTACTTGTTTGTTTGAAAATTTTCTTTGCTTTAGATGTTGTTTTTGTTTCTGTTTTGAAGTGGGCAGCTTGGTCTCAGCTCCATCAGAGAGTCCAAAGATCACACTATAGCTAACTGGTATGTGCAAGCTTTCATGTTGTTACATCATAAAAATTCTGCACAGAAAGACCTAAATTAATGGTTCAAAGAGAGGGGAAATGTCTCACTCCCCTCCCAGACAGTAAAACTCAAAAAGAAAAATGTGAGGAAATAAGTCTTCAGACACTCTAAATTTTCCTCCTGGAGGCCTGGGGACCGCTGCAGTCCCGGGAACAATGGGGAAATTAATCCCACCCCAAAACCCTGTGAAGTTTGTGGAAGCTTCAGGGGCTACTGCTCCACCTCAGTGTGAAGGGGAAAAAGGTACTTTTACACTCAAACTGCAGGGCCTGACATATTCCCCCACCTCTTCTGCAGCCTCCTAAAAGAAGCCAAGGACATTAGATAATTAAAGAGCTCACTTTTGAGCACACTAAAGGAATACAGCAATCACCAAGAATCCAAATGCATAATTTCAGTTTAGTTGATGTCTTTTAAAGTTATTAACAATGTTTGGTTTTGCCCGAGTTTACAAAAAGAATTTATGTTATCTCTGTTATGCTTCTTAAAAATATAAGTGTATTTGCCAGTGGAAAAATCTGTTTCTGAAAGTTATGAAATGTATTCATAAATTTGCCGATCTAAAGAATGCTAATTGTTTACTTTTAGTTGTCACTAAAAATTAAGGTTTCTAAGAATTAAGAACTCGAGTTAAATTGGGGGAAAGTATATGGTTTTAGTAATATAGAATTTAAAGTAGGTTGTTCTAAAGTTGGTTACTTCTGAATAAGTTAAAAAGCAAACTCTAAGAGGGATTAGGAAAGTTGTAGAAGGATTGTGTAAGTTGCAGTGGGTCTGTATAAATCACAGAGGGTCTGTACAAATCACAGAGGGTGTGTACAAGTTGAAGAAGGATTGTGTAGAGGGGAGAAGCAAAAAGAGAAAGAACTGAGGAAGTGAAAAGGTGAAAAAGGACAAAAGAAAGGGACATACATATGACAAGAAGAAGGGACATTGGAGGAGAAATACTCAAGAATGGAAATGGAAATTGAGGAAAAAATTAAGACAGTAAAATAACGGCACATAGATAGTAAAGCAGAAGGACAATTTCAATGACAAATGAAAAGGTTGGGAAGCTCCCTTTGATTTTTTTCAAAACCAATTGTAATTTCCCCACAGAAATCCCAGGTACAATGGAGAGTGAGGAACAAATTAATTGATTTCTTAGTCTGATATACTTTCATCTGTAATTCTGAGTGTTACCATAAATGTTGTTACCAAAAAAAAGATTCCTCTGTCAACTGCATTATAATCAGATCTATAACCATGTCATTTAAAGTATTTTGTTTTGTCATTTAGAGACAGTCATTGTTTTATTCTGATGCATTTGCAAAAATGTTACATCTTCACAAAGATCCATGGAAAGGATTCTGACTTCAGATCGTATCTTTAAAATAGATAAAAATTTTATAAAACTCTAAGAAACAACTGAATTCATAGAAATACTGTAAAATAATCAGGATAAATAATTATGGAACTGAATTAAACTGAAGATAATTATTATTCTTATGACTTTGTTCAAAATATTGGTAATTTTTAAAACTTGTTTGTTTTCTTAGAGCAATTTGGTAAATTGTACCTTGATAAACAATATTAAAGCATTTGTATTTTTCTCCCTACTTGATCCCTCCAGAATTTAAAAACTCTTAATGAGTATTATTATTTTCATGGCAATATGTTTATTTGCATAAATCCAATAGGAATCTGATTTCTTCATAACAGGATACATAAAATCAGTTTCCCATGATAGTTTTATTAACCAAGACTTTGCCTGGAATGCCATCTTTGAGAAAGACATGCCTAGACTCTGGATGTCAGCAACAAGCTTTAAGGAATAAAGATTGACTCTGGAGCCAATAAA